TTTTTTTTTTTTTTTTTTTCCTAATGTTCTTCACTTTTCTTTTTTCTTTTTTCAAGTTTTTTAACTTTGTTGTGAGATGTCGCGTTTGCCCGCCGTTTTCGCAACTACCGGGCGTTGGACTTGGCCGATTCCCGGCAGCTGCGGCGTGTTAACGGGCAAGCCCACGGTCCATGTATGGGCCAAGTACTGGCGGTTTAATCAGACTCCTTTCAACCTACCTGGATGGGAGTTGGGATGCCGATTTCCTTCCTCAGAACTGGGATATCAAATGGATCAGGGATTTTGGACTGGATGTCACGGGCGACCCCTGCAATAAAGTCCTCCCGACTTCCTCCACCCACCGCACCACCGACACGTGGCTGCAGATCAATCAGATTACGCCAGATCAGCTTTGTTGCATTTGTATAGTAGCTGATGTCTGCATTCGGGTGCAAGCCAAAGACTTCTGGTGTCTGCACAATGGGCAACAAATCTATCATTCCCACATATGATTCCTTGGGCCCTGTTTCGGGAATTTTGTAATCCACAGTCTCAGACTTGAAGAAGTGAAATGGCTGAAACGTGTCAAACAAAAAGTCGCCGAAATACTCGTCCAAGTACGTGGTCAATATCCTACGGTCCAGACTGTCAGACACACGCCCACCATACATTGCTTCTCCAATCAGGTACCGGAGAGTTCCCCATGGGAGAATTTCGTCTTCATTATCGTAAGCCTTGCGCAGATAAGTACTAATTAGTGCCATGCTGATCCGAAAATCGGTTTCATTGAAATCATATGCGACGTTCCACCCCAATTTACCATACTTTCGACGTTCCTGCACAACTGCATGGAAAAATGCAAGCACATACACCTGCACAACAAAGATGAGAGAGAGAAGATAGCAGATGATGAGCAAGTGCTGTGCACACACCAACTAGCACAAACAGCATGAACATGTTCCACACACATATATACATTGTCAAATAAGAAACAAAACAAGATTGAGTTAACCAATGTCAGTTCGGTCTAGGGATTAAGGCCTCTATATCTGACCATAACTACAGTCTTCCCCCAGACAAAAAGCATGTACGTACTATCCAACTTTCCCCGGGAAATTCTATTTCTCAAAGTAGCCCCTTGAAATCCAAATAGTACGCTTGTTGAAATAGTACGCACGTATGTTTTATTCAAATAGTACGCACATCTGTTTTATTCAAATAGTACGCACGTATGTTCTATTCGAACAGATGAGTGTTCTATTCAAATAGAACACACGGGTGTTCTACTTGAATTACTGGGCAGGTGCTTTGCTCAGGCATGAGCCCGTTTTTTTGTCAGCCGTGTACATTTACTTTAGTGGAGTTTGGACGGCTAGAGGCAGCTTGTTTGAAAAACGTCTCTCTCTCTCTCTCTCTCTCTCTCTCTCTCTCTCTCTCTCTCTCTCTCTCTCTCTCTCTCTCTCTCTCTCTCTCTCTCTCTCTCTCTCTCTCTCTCTCTCTCTCGCTCTTGTGTTCCAATTTTAGCGGATGTCCCGAAGGACAAGCCCCTGTGTTTCCGTAGCATAACGCACATACAGATACAGGGTACTAATTTTTTTTGGGGTCCCATTTTCGAAAGTTGGTGCCCTGTATCCGTAGCATAACGCACGTGCATACGAATACAACAAGGCTGCGCAGCCTTCTTGCTGTGCGATTTGGAGGGTCGCGGCCACTTTGCAAGCTCATATTTTGTCCCATTCGCTTTTCTTTTATTCAGCATTTATTTAAATATGATTTTTTGCTTATTGATGCAATGAACCACTTGTATTCACTTTCAAATCGTATGCACCATGAGAGTTCACAACTTCACACAGAAATCCACACTGAATTCCAGAGATGGAGAGAGCAGATTAGCGCAGCTTGGAAATTCTCAATGAATGATCGTATTATACAAAATTAGAGTTCGAGTCACACAGCGCTCTACAGCGCAGAAGCCAGCGGCTTCAATCAGGTATGTAACTGAGTTCATCCCTCATTTAACTCTCTCTCTCTCTCTCTCTCTCTCTCTCTCTCTCTCTCTCTCTCTCTCTCTCTCTCTCTCTCTCTCTCTCTCTCTCTCCTCAGCTCTCAACGTCTTCTACTATGAGGATCATTCCCTGGATAGATCCGCCTTCCTACTTGTGCTCTACTACTTCTACTACTACTGCGGCTATGGACGCCTGTCTTCCACAGCTTGGTGCTGCCCAGCAGGGCTCTCTGGCGCTCAGTCAACTCACGATAGCGCACAAGCAGCCAACAGTGCTTCCACCTTCTCACAAGTGAACAATCTGTTGAATGCACTGGGCCAGTCATTTTATGTTGACTAGACTGGGCCTTGACTTCACCTGGCCTCTGCTTGACTTGGTCTGGGCCTGACTTGACTGGTACGGGTCGCCGCGGCCTGTTTGCCTTTGGAATTTTGAGGCCTGGTACCTTCCAGACTTTTCTTGGAGCGCTGCTGCATTGGGACTGTGGGACTGGACTTTGGGGCCCGGTGCCGGTTGAATTTTGACCTGTGTGGCTTGTGAGGTACCCGGCACTGCCTTTTTCTGTTTCGGCCTGTTCTGCCTCTTTTTGACTTGGGGGCCTTTTTGGGGCCCTTGAGCCTGGAACTCGAATTTGGGGTCTGCAAAGTGAAAATCCTTTCATTGAGTTTGGGGCAGAGTTTTGTCTGCTCTATTTTTGTCTGTCTCAGATGTGTCGTTTCGGACTCTTCCTTTTGTCCGAACAGACAGGTGCCTGTTCGGACCTGTGGATTTCAGTTTTCAGATTTGTCCGTACCTGGGACTCAACCACGCAGTCATCTGTTTGTGCCTGGCGCAGTCCTCAGGACCCTGCTGCATCGGCAGGGTTGCCCAGATGTTCGGTAGGGACCCAGGCAGGCCGTTCTAGGCCAGGATTGTAGGACCAGGACTTGGGCCTGCGGTCAGGACCATCAATCGGACACTAGATGGGACGGTCCTGATTGCAGACCGTAGGGAGTCCAGCCAGGCCCAGCAGTATATAGCTGGGCCAGTCCTTCAGTTTGAGGACATTCAGCTGCAGACTTTGGGCAACGTGCTGCTGGAGAGCAGCACCCAGTTGGAGCATCACTGCGCTAGAGTAGCAGTAGAAGGTAGTAGGAGTGCGGACGCTGGTGAACCATAGCTGCAAGGGAGGTGGAGACTTACCTGGGCGCCATAGCTGGGGCTTCACTCCAGCGACCTGCATCAGAGGGCTACCATCGCTGGTCAGTACTTGTGAGGATCATCAGCATCAGGTGAGAGAGAGAGAGAGGAGACTCTTCTTCTTCTGCTGCTGCTCCCGGACTTTGCTCCAACCCTAGACAGCCACTACCGTCTTTTTCTTCTTCTTATTATTATTATTTTGGCACGGAGAGAGAGAGAGAGAGAGAGAGAGAGAGAGAGAGAGAGA